GAGAGGGGGGGACGGGGCGGGACAGAGTGAAGGGAGAAGGGGGGGAGGCGAAAGGCAGGCGAGGCCGCGGCGCGAGCGAGAGAGAGTGGGAGCGGGAGAGAGAGCGGCGCGCCATCGAGCGGGTGCGAGTGAGAGGGAGGAGAGAGGCGGCGGCAGCGGCGCAGCCGTCGACCTCCTGCCGCGGCTGCGGCCCTGGCGCGCGCTCCACCGTACAACGCCGCCCATCTGAGGTTAGGTCCCGGCGGCCCCTCCCTACAGGGCGTCTCCTCCACGGGGCGTCCACAGCCCCGCCCGGCCCGGCCCCGCCGCCGCCCGGGTGCATCCGGGGCCGGCGCCGCCGCGGCCCCCGCCGCCCCGCCGCGCCCCACCCACCTGACGAGCCTCGGGGCGGGGGCGTTTGCAGACCCCAGCCGCGAGCCACGCGCTGGCCCCGCCCCCTCAGCCGCGCGACCCGGACAACATCACGGTCTACAGGACCGCGTCAACGAGAAAGGCCCCCCGGCAGGGCGGAGCGTCGGAGGGGAGTGGCGGGGCGGGGCGTAGCGCCGCGCTAGATGTGCCGTAAGCGCGGCGTTCGCCCGGTTTGTCGCCAGGCAGGGTTTTATGCGAGCGACAGGGTTTGGAGATGGGATTCTCGCGGTGGGGTTTGAGTGCCGACCGTTGGCTCAGGCTGTTGTCCCTCTCTATCACGCGCCAATATTTTTGCGAGGCGTCAGGGGCGTCAGAGCGTGAGTAGTGTCCCTTCTAAAAGCAGCTTCTGGCCGCGGCTCGCCCGGGACGTAGACCACCTAACCGACACCGCGCGCAACTGGGCGGCTGGCTGCAGGGGCCGGGCCGCACGAGCCTCTCTCCCGTTGCTCACGCCACGCCTCTCACACCGCCACAGGTGAACAAGCCGTGGTACCTGACCTCGGGGATGGACTTCTCCATCGAGTACAGCTGGTCCGAGTGCGGCGGCGTCCTCAGCAGCCCCAGCGAGCTGACCAGCCCCGGCTTCCACTCGGGCGGCTACCCGAACGCCACGCACTGCGCCTGGAAGGTCACCTTCGAGGAGGGCGAGCAGCCCGTCGTGACCTTCGAGACCCTGGACCTGGCGCAGGGCTCGTGCGAGGACTACGTGACGGTGCACAACGGCGACTCGGCCAAGTCCCCCAAGCTGTTCGGGCCCGCGTGCACCAAGCCGGCGCACCCGCTGCACGCCGGCGGCCGCCACCTGTGGATCGAGTTCCACACGGGGACGCCGACGGTGCCCAGGGGCCGCGGCTTCAGGATGACGTTCTCCACGACCTCCAGGGGTGAGCGATAACTCAGAAATGTGACGCGACATCGACCACATGTTGAGCATCGACGACTCGCGGCCTCGAATCTCGATAAGTCGTGCCGATTTTTGATTTTGGGAGCACAATGAGCTTGACGTCGCGGCCTCTGCCCCCAGCGTGCGGCGGCACCTTCCACACCGCCGAGGGCACGCTGTCCTCCCCGGGCTTCCCGCAGGCCTACCCCGCCAACATCGAGTGCGTCTGGGTGGTGGAGCTGCAGCCCGGCTACCGCGTGTCAGTCACGTTCGAGGGTCGCTTCAACATCCAGAGCGGCCCCGACCTCAGCCACGACTACCTGCAGGTCACGGACTACGACGAGGCGCGCGGGGAGTGGTCGCCGACGTCCAGGATGTTCCACGGGCGCACGGCGCTGGACGTCGGCGAGGTGCTCGAGTCGTCCGGGTCCCGCCTGCGATTCGTGTTCCACTCGGACGGCGGCGGCTCCGCGGAGGGCTTCAAGGCAAGGAACCATTGGGAATCGTTGAGCTATTTGACCGTTGTAATCGAAACTCGAGTCTTTGTGCTTTATTGTGTGTTTCGTTTTGCCAGGCGCGCTGGAAGGCCAAGTGTGGCTACACCAGGACGCTGGTCGGACGCGAGGCGAGGGGCGAGGTGGTGTCCCCCGGGTTCCCTGTCGCCTACGCGCCCGAGCTCAACTGCAGCTACGAGCTCAGGGCCCCGGGCCAGGTCATCCTGGCCAAGTTCACCAACTTCAGCGTGGAGGCCGGCCGGGCCTGTAGGTTGAGGAGCACTCGGACTGTGTCTAGAGAGGGGCCTGGCACCTCACTTGTATAACTTTCTCGTTCACCCAGCTGATCCGTGCAAGTTCGACAACGTGACCATCTTGAAATCGGAGGGCGAGTTCCTGGACGTCGGCTCGCTGATGTCAGGGCGGCGGAACGTCTTCTGCGACCTTCGACCGCCGCCCGGGCAGATCCGCGTCAAGGACAAGCTGGCCTTCACGTTCCAGACGGACCGCTGGGTGAACTTGCCGGGATTCAGGATGGTCTACCAGCTGGACAGTGCGTGTTGTGTGGTGTGCCAGTAAAAAGTGTGTGACCTCCAAGGCACTTGAACGTCGTGCTCTGTTGATGTGCTCCGTTTGCTCAGCCTGCGACCAGAACATCACGGAGCCCACCATCATCAAGTCTCACGGCGAGGGCGAGGAGTACGCCCCCATGGCCAACTGCACGTGGAACATCACGGCCCCGGACCAGCACACGGTGCGGCTGAGGTAAGGGTGAGGCCTGCCCACAGGTCCTGCGGACGCCCGCCGCGGTAGGCAACGCTCCCGCACGGAGCGCGCCACAGTGCGGCGGGATTGCCTACCGCGGGAGCCCGCAGGCGCTTGCGGGTCCATCAGCAACAGAACACAATTTTGACATACCAGCTACTTTTCGGTGAGATAGCTAAACTTTAAGCCACAAGTCAGAAAAAATTGGCGAAATCTAGCCGATATCAAGGGAAAACTTTGGTGGGTTGAAAACTAAGCTAATTGAGCTGAAAATGCCTTATTTTTGAGCTACACGGCTAAGTAATGAAGTGTACCCTAGTGAGATATTGTGTAGCTATGTAGCTGACGTGGCGGTGGCTGCTTCCACCATCAGGTTCAAGCTGCTCGAGGTGGAGATGTCGTACGAGTGCTTCTCGGACGCCGTGTCGGTGTTCGACGGCCCGCTGGAGAACGAGACGCTGCTGCTGGGCCGCTTCTGCGGCAACCTGACGCACGACCTGCCCAGCCTGCGCAGCACGGGCCGCAGCCTGCTGGCGCGCTGGCGCAGCGACACCAGCGTCGCCGCCCGGGGCTTCGTCGCCGAGGTGTCGTTCGCCACCGGCGCGTGCGGGCTGCTCTCCAGGTGCGCGTGCAGCGTGACCACAGTGCGGGCGCGATCTCACGAGGGCCACAAATCCACACGAAAATAAAGTTAGCTCCAGTAGCTAACCAATGGATAGATATGGGACATCTCGGATTATTAATTATTCAGCTATGGTGCTAACAATAATTTGCTGTCTGCCTCTACATTTCGCAGCATGGCTAACTGGTTAGCTACACAGCTGATTTTAAGTTCCACGGCAATTTTTCAGCTACACAGTTTATTTTATAACTACACAGTGAATCTTTTAGCTACTCAGCGAATTTTTAGCTATACAACTAGATATTTACCCCCACCCGCGTGCCTTGCAGGGGCACGGCGCCGGGCTCCACGCCGCTGCGGCCGGGCCAGGCGCTGCAGGTGTCTCCGGGCGAGCCGCTCACGCTGAGGCTCAGCCCCCGCGCGCGCTTCGACTGCGACCTGAGCCTCACGGCGCCCACCGGCCACTTCGTCTCCGCGGTGCTGGACACCCGCTCCCTGGCCGTCCTGCAGCCCTGTCCCAACTACACCCGCCATCACGAGGCCTGCGATTGCAACTTCTTGGAGGTGGGAACCAAAAATAAACAATGACAATTTGAAAAGAAATGATTTCGGGTACTTTAACTTTCATGACATCGAACCGTATTGCAGGCGCGCAACGGTCTGAGCGCGTTCGCCGAGTCCATGGGGAGGTTCTGCCGGTCGAGGAACACCACCACACTGACCTCCTCGGACAGGCATATGTGGTTGAGGCTGAACGCGGACCTGCCGCCGGGCAGCAGGAGCGAGCTGCGCCTGGTGGCGACGGCGCGCCCCGGCCTGTGCACCACCGGCGCCCTCAAGGGCTTCGACCTCGGCTCCAACGTCACCCATCTCGAGTTCGTCTCGCCGGGCTACCCGCACCCGCCCGCCTTCGTCCGCTGCCAGTACGACATCAACCCGGGCATGTACGCCGTGGTGGTGAACGTCACGGACCTGGACCTGGGCGGCCCCGCCAACTGCCTGGGCAAGGACTCGCCGGCCACCCACGTGGACACGGGCCGCCTGGACATCACGCGGGTCACTGCGGGCGGCTGGTCCTCGAAGGACAAGGTGGTCGTGGGCAACCAGCTCAACGCCATGATGGTGAGCCTATTGTAGTCCAATACTGGTTCGGCATTTTAATTATTTTGGAGGTTCACGAAATTTTGAATGGAAGTTGGAGTACGCTCTTTATCCCACTAGTTGAGTTTCATACAAAGTTGAGATTTATTTCAAGTGCAAAACTTTTTGATGATAATCAAAGGGCTAGAAGATTTGAAAGTAGAGTACCGGTAAATTAATTCTTTTATACTGGACACTGACAAAAAGGAGGGGTCCCTCATCAAGATGGTAATTATCTATTGACTTACCACAAAAATACACAAGTACACAGATACACATTATAATTAACCTAAAAATAATTTTACACACATGTCCTGAGTAACCCGGACTCTACAGACATATGCAGGAACACTGCCAAAATAATCAATTTATGATAAACCATTCACTAAGTGAAAACCTTATAAACAAGGTCAAAACTCTTAACTGGGCTCTGATAAATAGTAAATGAGTGAACTCACCAGGGTAGATACTGCGCACAGTTGCATGATGTACAAACAAGTGCATGGAGGTAGCGCCGCCACCCACACACAGACACTCACACCTTCACAGTTCACATATTGGAGTGGTATTCACCGACACATAATAGAAGTAAAGCCATGACACAGTTCATCAGTCATGGAAAGTTACATCACCAGGATCACCAGTGACATCATCGGAGTCACTCCACACTTCACAGCTGATCGGGAAACGGAAGGGAAGAAAAGGGGGGGG